ACACTAACCTCACTCCTTTGTAACAACTAAGGCAAAAATGTAATTAATTCAGAAAATCTTTTCAGGACCCCACCTTGATGTTTTGGGACCCCACTTTGGGTCCCGACCYCAACTTTGGGAAACACTGGTCTAGAGGACCTATTTAATTTTCTTTTCAATTTTTCTACCTGGATTACTGGGATGCATCAAGACCTTTTGTTTGATTGTCTTTGAGAATTTTGATTGCATATTTTTGACATAATTTCAGCAAATAAATAAAGTTTGGTGGCAACAGGATCGGAATAAAGCAAAGAAACCTGCAGCTGATAACCATTTTTTTTTCTTTCTTTCAATATCCAGGAGATGTGTGGATGATTAATTATTGCTAAACAAAACTGCATACATGACTGACAACATTAAGTCAGACYTCAAATCATCTAAAACAAACCAGCACAGAGTCAGACACTCACTTCGTACACCTGAGGACTGGTYAGACAGCTGGCCAGAGGCCCACAGTAAGCAGGCAGCGTGGAGGTGAGAGGTGGGCCGCTGTGGGTCAGAATGGGCTTCAGGTAGCTGAAAGGTTGTTAGGGAGAAAACTCCAAGCAGGACAACAGTTATTAAAACATGCGTTAAAGCAGGAGTAACAATCTTATTTATGCCTAAACAARAAAACCTGTCGAGGAAAGCAAACCACTCAGCTGTTAAACTTTGTTAAACTTTGTTGTTTATTGTTTTTCATTTAGGGATATTGTTTTTGTCTTTTGGTAAAAATTAATTTCTACTCTACGTTAACCTGGCTCTTGTCTTCCTACGCAGTTCTGCTCAATTCTAGTTTCCCTTCACTTCTCCGTCTGGGATTTCTACCATAGACAAGGATTTCTTCGGGAGCATTTCGTCCGGGCCAATCAGAGAACAGAACGTTGATTTTCTGCRCAGTGTCTGCTAGTTATTTTAGCATACAGCAGTGGAGGAAGTGAATGAAGCCAGTCTGTGTTGATAAGACTTCCAAATTAAACTAAATTTGTCTGACAAAGCAGCAGCTCTCATTTACAGTCGTCTCGTTCGGCTCGGTACTTCTCTCCTCTCAGTAGGGTTGTTTACAGCACACGCAATGTCTGCTTAGCTTCTTAGCTTAGCCTCCTTCACAGTGACATACGTCGCGGCCAACTGATCCAATCATTTTAAACTTCAGCAGAGGCCACGCCTCCAGCAAGAATTGCTTCTCTATAGCAGAGAGTCGAGACCCTCGTATGAAGCAAAGTGAAGGACAAGGGTCTGGTTTTTACCAGGCTCTCTCTACGTGCTCTTTGTGGTTTTTGATAACTTGTGTGCAGCACTGGTGTGAGCAGGATTGTCATTTCATGTCTGCTTTACAGTGGTGGGCACAGTTCCACTAAAGCACTAATAGGGGAACTAATTTCCTGATTAGTGCTTTAGGGCTTTTGCTAATTTTAACATTTATTAGTGGATTAGCACTTGCTAAATTTATAGGCTAAATTTAGAAGCACTAACTGAGGTMTATAAATGTTATTGATCAAGGTTCATGTTACCAGCTGAGGGTGAAAGCTGTCACACATTGTGTTCATATGTGTGTCACTGATCCACCAGGTGACAATATATGTACACAAATACAGCTGAGGAATGTCAATGATAAGTCTTAAGAGAGAAACATGGCAACATGTGATTCATGTTGTCTGTTGAAGAATGTTCATGGGTTGAATGGGTTATTTTAGTGCTTTAGAATTAGGGGACCTAAATATTTGAGTTAGTGTTTTAGAGCTAGTGGAACTAATGTTTAGATTAGTGCTGCTCACCACTGCTGCTTTTTACTTACTATCTGAGGTAAACATGACAAATATGAGTCGAGGCCACGTTCTCTCTGTCCGACAGCCTGCAAATCAAGGAATTTAGTCAGTGGTGGGCACAGTTCTGTTACTGTGCTAACAGCTAATACCAAAGCTAACTTTTTGTTGAGTGAATTAGCATTTTCATTAACTTTGTTTGTTAACGGACCAATTAGCTTCTGCTAAATTACATTCTGCTAGGTCTGCTAACAAAAACAACTATCCCCCTCACACATGCACCACTGCATCGTGTTGTGTATGTGTGTGTGTGCGTGTGTGTAGCATATTTAGCCTTCTGTGTGTCCACCTGCATCAGTCTTCAACTGGAAGGAGATGAAGATGTGATACAGATTGAGTAGTCTCCTTCATCCACTCAGATCTTTGTGATTTGATCAGAAAAGGTGATTTTGTTTGGGGAAAACGCTAAATCATTTCTAAAGAGTAGGTGYTTCTAAGCRTAAACACTGATTGGCTAGTTGTATTTGCTCTGTTTTTCGAAAAGGTCGTCTCTTCTCTTTAATTTTTCTTTCACTTTTGACTTTAACTACTTTCACATTAATTTTAGCAGCCAAAACTGAGGCATRGGGGTTAATTTTAATMATAGAMTSAAGGGGTTAATTTTAGGGTCAAATGACGGGGGAGGGCTAAATAATTCCAATATGGACCATAAAGCAGGTGTGCCCATTACATAGATCGCGATCTACCAGTAGCTCGCGGAGGCGTGTAGGTAGATCGCCTTATGTGGCATAAAAAATACAGGAGATCTCGATGATAGGTTGTCATCCAAACTCTTTGCATTATTTTTTTTTCTGCAGTTAGGCAAGTGCTACATTTAGATTTTTGTTAAAGATGTTACTTGCCATGATGTGAAAAATAAATAAATAAAAAGTCAGTTTCTTATTTGTTTTTGGTTTAAATAAACAAACGTTTAAATGGTAATACAAATGTGAAGTGTTTGATACCTTGGATAGAAAAGTAGATCTCGGCAAAGCAGCAGCCTCAAAAGTAGATCTTGGTTTAAAAATGTTTGGGCACCCCTGCTCTAAAGGGTCTCTTTCCAAAGTAAGCTAATAATATAAAGAAATGCAGAAGCAACGATCATCCAATCAGGTGTGTCTGTTGTGAACCGCCTTCCCTTGGAAACACCTACTCATCTGCAGAGAACCCCCTCTCCAGGATTGAGAACCACTGCCCTAAAGCACTCTGGGAGATGTAGTTTCTCAGCTCATATATCCTGTGGATTTATGATTCAGAGGCACCATAGCAAAAGGTATGGGTTATGTTTTTTTAAACACTGGACATGATTCTGGTTTTATCTGCTTGTGGTTCAGTGAATCCTGGTTGGATTGGGATTAAATGAAGAGYAGCAAAAAATAAATGTGATTAAGAGTCTGTTTAACTCAGTACCCTATACAAGACGTTATAAGTAGGGTTCCAACCCCAATGTTGGGAGGATGTTTGTCACTAGGACGTATTTGGAGTTTTTTGGTAGAAGATTCTGGGAGAAGCTGAGAAAAGTTTTACTTGTGATGAGTAATCGGAGAATAACGGGGGGATGGCTCATTTGTAATGAAGGAATTTCTAAGGACAGAAACTCCACCTGTCATCCTTACTGAAACTTGTTGCAGAGCACAGAAATACAGCTTTGTGTCACAAACGTGTCACTTCTGGGAAACCAGCTAAATCCACCTGGCATGTGGCTCCACAATGCAGGTATTGTCAGCAGGGAGAGTTCCTACTGGAAATAACAGCTGCTCYACCTATAAAGGGCACACAATCAATCAACCGCCTGGGGAGACAATTGCTCAGCTGAAGGGAGGGAGGGAGGGGGAAATAAAAGGATGAGCTGCTGAACACATTAGCTCGTGTTTGCAGTTAGGCTAAGCACCAAAAGCAAACATTTTGCTCATTAATCTGATGCCGCACTCAAGATGATCCACCTAACAGAAACTGGAGCACCAGACAATCGTCCTGCCYGGTGGTAAGACCCACTACTGGCACAAAGAGCTGCATGGGATCACACAAATATTTGCTTTGATGGTTCACATTACATGTGTGGCAGGAAACAAAAAGGATACTTGTGGTCAAAGGTGTACCACCGCCTGAAGAGCCACGCACTCTCCTGTTTGGTTTTACTCTGTCCCTCAGCCTGGGCACCATCCTGGAGAAACACATGGAAAAAGAATACTTTCATATGTTTAAGTATTAGGACCCAGGCCGACGTGTTATAATGATAAAATAACCCCAACTAATATGTTAGTGGTTTGGCATTAGCTTTCGCTAATTTATTTTATACCCTTAGTAGTTTAGCGTTAGCTTATGATAATTTATTTTACATGTTAAGCGATTCAGCACTAGCTTTTGCTAATTTCTTTACATACTTACTGACTTAGCATTAGCATTTGCTAATTTATTTTACATGCAACTGGCTTAGCGTTAGCTTTTGCCAATTTATTTTGAATGCGTACTGGCTTAGTGTTAGCTTTTGCTAATTTATTTTACATGCTTAATGGTTTAGCATTAGCTTTCACTAAGTTATTTTACAATGCTAACTGTTTTAGTATTGGGGTTAGCTTTTGCTAATTTATTTTACATGCTTAGTGGTTTAGCATCAGCTTTTGCTAATTCATTCTATACGCTTAGCAGTTTAGCGTTAGCTCATGATAATTTATTTTACATGTTAAGTGCTTTAGCATTAGCTTTTGCTAATTTATTTTACATGCTTACTGACTTAGCATTAGCTTTTGCAATTTATTTTACATGCTTATTGGTTTAGCATTAGTGTTCGCCAATTCATTTTACATGCTTAGCAGTTTAGCATTTGCTAAATCATTTTGCATGCTTAGCAGTTTAGCATTAGCATTGGCTAATTTATTTAAAATGCTTACTGGTTTAGCAATAGCTTTCGCTAATTCATTTGACATATTTATTAATTTTGTGTTAGTAAAATAAGCTAACTTTTTGGTTAGCTGTTCCCACCACTGGTCTCGTGGTTCTTGCACACGTCCTGCACTTGTCTCATTTTGCTGAACTGGACTTCCTCATACAGAAAAGCTTCCTCACGTGGCACCAAATCATGTTTTCTCTAGATTCACAAAAACGCAGAGGAACTTCTGACCTTCCTTGTTTCCATCAAACATCCAATATCTTCATCTATTTTATCCCAGTTACGCGTGCTCGTTACTGAAACTCTGCTAGTACGCTTCTCTATTCCTCAGGCTTCTTAAATCTTCAGTAAACACAGGATGACAAACTAATCTGCTGTGATTTTGTTTTGTTTTGCCTTCCGTAGTGTTTCAATAGTTTCCAGCAGCCCAACATATTTTCCAGTTAGGTATTCATTATCAAAGTTAAACTGCAGCCCATTTTATATGCATGACTGCTCAGAGGTCTACTGCAAATCAGCTTATGTCTATTGTGTCTTCAATTCCTCATAGCAATGTATTAAGAAAAAACTAATCAATTATAAATCGATAAAATGGCACAAACAAGTAGTTAAAAATAAATTCCACCCAGTAGTTAAAAAAAGTTCTTCCTAATTTTCAACAAAAACCTACAGGCAATCAGACCTGCTGACTTTAAACCACATCCACATAAAATAGCAGAACCAGAAACATTTCCGTCATGTGAGCAGCAAGCCAGAGAGTTCATCCGAGTGAGATCCTCACCCCCTGCAAGACCTGGAAGCGGTCTTCAGACATCTGCAGGTCTTGATCCGAATCCACGCCGACCCTGSAACACAAGAGGATAAGCAGAAAGAMGATGAGCTCATGAGACATGGTTATTAACAGTTAACCATGACACCAGCAGCAGCACAGAATGAAAAATCAAACCAAAAAAGAAAAAWAAAACCCAGCTGTCACTCAGACACATTATGTTCACAGTGTAAAACAAACGTGGTTGAGGTTTGGTTTGACTCTCACTGATGACTCAAAAACACAAARTCTCAACCTCAGAAGTTATCCAGAAGGTTAGCTGTGCAGAAAATCACCCAGCCACCACAGCCCTGTGAGAGTCAGGGAAATGCAAACGCAAATTTAAAGAAGAGTAGGAGAACATAATGTAAMCAACCAGGCTTCTGCTGATGCAAAAACACACACAAGCTCAGTTTGTTTAGACCTAAACAACGTGTGCACTATCCGCTAAATCAGATTTTTTTTGAGAAAAGTTATTTTTACCCTAAAGCAAAATAAATTAATAAAAGAAGATCTGAGAAGCAGTAATATAAATATAAAGCCCAGTGAGTGCCCAATGTGGAGATAAAGGAGATAATCTGTTTGCTTGGATGTGGACTCGTGCAGCAGGTGCTGTGTTAAACTGTGTTTACTGGTGGATCAGAGAGGAAACAAAAGTCACCACAACACCGCCTGTGAAACMGAGTCAAGAGATCATTTACAGCTCAGGTGAAGCATCAACTCAGGTCCTCTAACCAGAAACTATTAGTTCCTTAGAGTCAGAAATAATCGTTAACATCATTAAAACACTGCAAAATCTACTCCCCTTGTTTTTATGTAACGTGAGATGAGTGGTTTGAGGATTTAGTTAAGATTTATATTACAACAATTTGCAATTTATTATGCTTTTTATTTGAAATTATACTATATAAACAGTGACTTTTGACACCTGGTTATATTATTCAATACATCTTTAACTTTAGGATGTCCAGGAT